TCGCTTCCCCCCCCCCCCCAAGGAATTTGAGGTCTGCCTTGCACCTTGTAGTAGCTTATTCTCAGAACTATATTTTGGTTTCTGTTACAGAAAAGGTGTTAAGCGCTGCAGACCACAAATGAGCGGTGACTGAGTGCAGGTACAATTAGGAAGAAATAAACCTTATGGTACACAACAAAGTACACAACATAAACCTTACGGTACACAGCAAAGTATCAAAACACTTCATAGAGAAAGTTGTTACATTTATTACCTCATTTATAGTTATTATACTCTTTACTTTTCAAGTCTTTTTTTTTCTTATTTTTCCTTGTTCTGTTTTTGAATCATTCTGTGAGTTTGGATATGGCTGGCTGAATGGCAATCTTGAAGGATACAGCCTGGATAATAATAATATCTCAGAGCAGAGCTGGGGGAGGAGAAGATGCTTTAATAGCTGTTGTTCTCCAGTTAGGTTTGAAGATAAAGGTGGTTTAGATGTAACAGCTGGCATCTTTCCAACCTGTGGAGTCACATCAGTTAGTTTATGCTTATGATTTTTATTACTGGAGTGCTAGAGAGCTCATTGGCGGATCAGTGCATCTGTAAATGTGACACGGGGTGGATAGCGCGTCTTTCCTTTCCCTGGTCTTCCGAATAGTCTGATCTTAGCCTTTGTTTTACTATGCTTCTCTCCCACCCCACCCCCTCCCGTATCCATCCGTTCTTCCCTCAGTTACCTGATACTTGTGGGAGCTGCAATGGCCCTCATGCAGACAAAGCGTTCAAAGGGGGTGCTGAAAAGCCAAGTCCCTAGAGATTGCTCTGTCAAAGCAGAGCACAGTAATCTTAGCAACACTTCTTGCTTTCAGGATGGTGGGGGGAAGGAACATCAAGACTACTTTTTTGTAACTGAAATTCTTTTGAAGCAGTTTTTGAGGGTGGGTGTTTGGTTTTGGGTTTTTTTGATGCTGCTATGCTAGCCCGATGTTTTCTGTCTTCCATGTGCAGTTCTTCCACGCATCCTTTATTGTGGCTACAGCATAGTGTCAAAGGCTGTACTTCCTGGTTAAGTACATAAGATGCATTAATGATGACAAAGATGAGCTATCCAAGGTGAAAGGTCTTCTAAGGCAGACTGGATAAGGTAGCTTACAGGGTTTCAAGAAGATCATGTTTGTCTCAAGTATAATCTATTACCTATTTATGTTTTCAAGTATTCCATTTTAGGGCAGAGATCAGGATTTTCTTTTTAATTTAAATTGGTTGTTCTTTTTTGTTTTGTTTTTCTTAGTCGTGTGGCTCTGAAACTAACTCTTGATTTCTCTTTGCAGAGATCCTACACGTTGCTTGTTGAGGCATGGGATTACAATGATAACAACTCTACTAGTAAGTATTCATTGCTCTGGTTTACTTAGTTGAGACACATACTAATTTCCGCTCCACTGAAAGGTCCTTGGTAATCAAACTAGGGTATGAGGAGAGGGAAAAACTCTCCCTCAGACGATTCGGAGCAACTGCTCCAGGCTTTGCAGCACTCTCTCTCCCTCACGTTGCCTTTAGAGGGTGAGTAGCTCGCTCACTTAGGCACCAACACTTTCATGCCTAAAAATAGGTGCTGTTAATTCCCTCTTTCTCCTTAGGGAGGATAGAAGCCAAGGGGTTTCTTCAGGTTTTTTGTTTGGATGGTTTTTTTAGGACTGATTTCAGAAGCCTAAATCCTGTTGACTTGGGACCTTTCTATAAACTATGTAATTCTCAAATCTGAACACACTGCTTTAAAAAAAAAAAAATTGTAAGGCTTGATCTAAATATCTATCTAATAACTGTAGGTGAGAAACAGGAATCAATACCAGCTCTTACTTGGGAGCTGGATGTCTAGGGATTTATATTCAGGGGCTGAAAAATACTTACCAGACACCATGTGGTAGAGCTGGCTGAAAATCAGTGGTGGGAATCTTTTGCCTGGAATGTCTCTGGTTGGTTACAGAAACTTTCTGCTAAGATTTTCCTGTTGGCTAGAGGAAGCTGTGTAGAGTCGCTTGGCATATGAGCTGTTCTGCTTATTGCCTGCTGTTACTGAAGGAGGTGGGCAAAATTAGTTCTATTTTCAATCTAAGGCTTTAGCACGGTGTGGTAAAAGCCACAGGGGAAAGTATGAATCTGAACTCATAAACCTTTTGTTGACACAACAAGCCTTTTCCTTTAACAAGGAGGCAGCAACACTGTGGCCCATCTTACACAAATCTTATAACAGGTTCTTGTAGTCTATTTTGGAATGCCAAGTGACAGCCACATAGTAATGAAATCGACTTCATGAAAGGTCTTGTACAAGTGTGCACAATGCTGTGGTTTTATGTTTTAATTGGTGAGGAGTACACTGCTTGGGAATGGCCTTTGAGTCTGAGAACCTTTCTGCATGGATCTGCTTTTTAATTATTTTTTTTTTTTAATATACATGGGATGTCCTGTTAGTTCTTGGCCCTAGATGAGAAGTTGTCAACTGCAAATGATTTATGTGACCTGTCAGTGACAGCCATGGTTTGCTTTACAACCTGCCACATTCAACACTGGCAGTACCTGCGATTTCAAGCCCTACAACAGCACAGCCATGGAGCAGTGGCTGGGAAGCTTCTTGACTCTTGACTGTGGAGTGTTTTATGGAGGAGCAGAAAATAAATTGTTACAGCAGCAGAGTTGTATTAAAAATGGAAGACGCCTGAATTCAAAATTAAGGTCTTGTTTACAATAGGATCTGACAGTTTTTTCAGACTGGATCTCTGCCACTTTTACTATTATTAGAGCTCATCTTTTTTCATGAAACAACTGCATTTCCAAAGCTACACAATGAACCCTTTCTTTGCTTTCATGTTCTGGAAGTACAATTGTCTTCAGACAAAATTGCCTCATTTCTCAGCATTTCATTATCCATCTGTAGCTCACGTCAGTCACTGTACTGTACAAAGCTTTTCCTTTTTACTGCATCACTTCACTTACAGGCAGTGTTCCCATAGCTGAAGAATAAGTCTTGAAGAATTAGTTAATAAAATCGTTAGAATTAAACAATTGTTATCATATTAAGTGATGAGTATTTGTTTTTTGATGTCCAGGATTTTCCTTTACCCTAATTAGTACTGGATTGTGAGGACTCTGTGAGAGCTCTCAAAAAAAAAAAAAAAAAAAGGGGATTTAGTAGGCTTTGTGTAACTTTTCAATAACTCTAGCACCCTCTGATCAATGCAGTCATTAGGAGATCCTAGAGTGGATGCTTCCTTCCCCCCTCTACATTCCACTCCTCCTACGTTCCTTTACCACATACTCTCTCTTGTCTCCCTTCCAAGAGTGGCTTGCAGTTAAATTCTGGCCCTGTTGAAACTGATGAGAATCGTGCTTTGTTGGAGCCAAGATTTAACTTAAATGGTTTCCTTACTCTGGTTCTTGTCTAAATGCCATCTTGCTACTGTCGCTTCATATAGAAAGCTGATGGGACTTACATTGCATCTCAAACTACGGAAAAGAGCTATTGTAAATTACTGGTATCAGTTGCAAGTGAATTCCAGTTGGGCGCAAGAGACTTCAGCACAATGTAAACCAAGCCATAGCTGGAACTTGTCTGAAACAAAGACTTGCAGAAATAACTGTGGTGTCCACCCAAACTGCTTAGAGGAGCCTGGGCTTTTTTGTTGTTTGTTTCCTGATGATGGGTAGTTATAATTTCAAGAAACAGGACCACTGAAAAGCAAAGGTGGACAGTCAAAATAGCTGATTTCCCTGTGCCTAAAACCTTTGATACAGTCGCCCACTGAATAAGGAGACGGGTTAATAGCTTTGAAGTGTAGCCACAAAAAGTGAATGAAACCAACAAACTCTCTGACAGTGCAGTGCAGAGTGGAAGCTAAAGATATACAGAAAGCCTCTCTCTTCCACTTCATCAATTTCTAATTGGTTAATGTTTCCTCTAAGCTTTCTTTCAAAGCATGAGATTCCAAGTCAGATGATGTCAGGGTGGTTAGGAAGATCGCTTTCTTTCAAGCCTGGCTGACTGCTTCTTTTTATTTACTTAACCAGTCTGCTGCTTTGGGATTGCTTACTATAAAACTTAAAACACTGTCGGTGCTGGCTAAGAATGGAAGAGTTGTTGCAATGCCTTCCCTGAAGTCTGGGTCAGCACACTTGTGTAAGTGCATACTGACAGGTGAGACTAGGGAAGGGTGGAGAAATTTTTGTACAAGAAGAAACATGCCAATACATCATTGTGAAAGCTGTGGGTGATGGCTAATGGAAAGGGATAAGTCTGTGAGACCTTCCTTGAATTTAAATGTATGGTGGTAGCTTTATAATGTGTATCAAATGAAAGGCATTTTAGCTATGATCCAAGGTAAAATAGCATCTGGGTTTCATCTAGGCCCTTAAAAAAATAGTCAAGTGGACTAATAATGATGTTTCCATTTGAGTTCAGCCTGTGGTTAAGGACTCAAAAGAGCCGGTGGCTGGTGCGAGATGTCATAGACATACAGCAAGGACATGCTTCTAATGAGCTGGCAGATAGGGGAAGAATGATAAAGCAGAGGCAAGAGGAAAGATCTCTTTTTTTCGAAGGCGGTTGTCTTTCTGGTGCCAAGGCCTGAAATAGTTGTCAGTGGCATGTTCCTAACTGGGAACAGGAACAGACTGGAAAAGCAAGAGAGTGTGTGTGTGTGTATGTGGAGGGGGGGGGGCGTGGTTTGCAAAACTAAATGGAGTGTTATTCTCCTTTTTCTTCTGCCACTTACAGGAGAAAAGGATAGAGTTGTTTTACTTGCAAGAAATAGGATGTCTATGCACAGACTTGGTATTTGGGGAAATGCAGTTGCTTTCCAGCTGTGCTGTAGATGGGGTGTAATCTTGGCAAGAGCAGCAAAGCCATCTCCAGCATGCATGAGTGGAACTATAATCGCTTGACTAGCTCCATTCAAGGCGAATAGATATGCATCTGCTTAAGTACCTCTTAGAATTAGTGAGTAATCTTGTTGATGAGATCTAAGAGCCTTACACCTGCACAGTACAGGATATGATATTGCTCTGGATATACCAGTATGGAAAAGTCCTTAGGCATCTACATGACTTGTGAATGGGAATTAAATTAATAAAGGCCTGCATGCATTTGAAAGTCTTTACACATAGATGTGGGGTTGGGGGCTTAATGCCAATGAATAATAAAAACTTACTTAAATGGAAAATATTATAGAACCAGAAATACCAGAAGGTGAAGAAGTAGTTGTTGCCCTCAATTTCACACTGTAAACACTTAATAAATGCTGTAGTCTCAAGATGAGAATACCCCAGAAATGGGTAAGTGCTTACAGTATCTGTGTATGGACACTCTCCTGTGGTTTTGCAGCAAGTGCTTTGACTTAACTTTCTTTCAGAGCTGCAGACAAGCAGGCAGAATCTAGTGGTGAAGTGATGAAGAGTGTTGTCTGAGGCTTGAGAAGCCTGTTTGGAAGTTCTTTTTGAAAGCTACAAATCAAAGGTCCTTAGCAGTACATTTAAAAGTATTTTAGATTAAAAACTGCACATGTGTCATCTTAAGCTTTATGTAGCAACTTCATTAGTCTTCAGCTCTGCCTTATGTAAAATCCCCAAACTTTCTTTTGTAATTGTTGGAAGAACAAGCTGAACATCTGTACATTTTAATTCTTAACACTTGAATGTGCCGGTACTTCACAGACTACTTTCTAAGACATCATTGGCAAACTGCCCTTCTACCTAAAATTCTTCTGTCGCTGGATTATGCTCCCGTATACAGAACAGTGTAGCCTGGTCCTTATTTTTGTTTTTGTACTATGTCTGCAAGGATATTTTGGCTGTTTTATGATAAACTTTCAGTTGGCAGTCAAGTGCTTGCTAGCAGCAGGTCGTAAGGCAGTGTCAGACCATTTAAGTCACAAGACCTGGACTACAAAGTGAAATATCACAGATATATACAATGTTCCAAGCTAATGTGAAATATTATTATTTCAAGCCATAATTTAGACAGTTGTAGAGCTCTAAAAGCCAGAAGACTTTTGCTGGAACTAAATGTCAAGTACATAGTCTAAACTTTCAAATGCTCTATAGAGAGAAGGGGGATCTATAGCACATACATGCAGTAATTTGACTTCTCTGCTTCGAGCTCTGGTAGTCTTGAATTTTTGCTGTCAGTTAACATCTGAAGAGAGAACTTCCACCGTATTTCTCAGCCAAAACCTAGTGAGATCACTAATGTCGTCTGAATGCCAGAGTTGCTAGTTTTCAATTTAGTGTTTACACCAGAGTCCTAGAAAGCTGCAAACTTTCATGGTGCTTATGTTCAGTTTGTAGGCATTGGTTTATTAGGCTATTGCAGTACGACGTTTTCATAAATATTCCAGTTAAAAACAAAACTAGTACCATTAATAGAGAAGCCTGGAAAACCCAATTATGTACCAATCTATTGGAGCTAGAAGTAAAAGCAGCTGAATTTACTTTAATCACAAACTGTATGATTCTTATTGGATGTCCTTACAGTGCAAAAGAGGTAAGTGATTGGCAGTAACCTAACAGTCTCTTTTGATTTCAAGTTTTGTTCAGTTTGATAAGGCTGCATGTGTGTTTCAGTTAATGGTTTGTAGCTCCAGCGCAGCCTTACCTTACACTCTAAAACAGAAGATTAATAAAAACAACTGGCTACCTCCCAGAGTCTTGCCTCCAAAGCTAGTGAGCTGTGATGTGGGAGGTGATGATACCTAAATGAAGTCTTAACTCTGACATCTCTTCTGACTTCTAGATCCTGATCACATTATTGAGAAGGCATCCCACTCTGGCATGATCAATCCAAGCCGTCAATGGCAGACTTTGAAACACAATGCAGGAGTTGCCCACTTTGAGTATCAAATCCGCGTGACTTGTGCAGAACATTACTATGGCTTTGGCTGCAACAAATTTTGTCGACCAAGAGATGACTTCTTCACTCATCATACCTGTGACCAGAATGGCAACAAAACCTGCTTGGAAGGCTGGATGGGACCAGAATGCAACAAAGGTTTGTGACGAATGCTCGACCCTGAAACAATCGGCAGGCTTGGATAGGATTTGAGTGCATTGCATCCAGGTTGCGGTTCAGTGGTGAGCTTATGCAGACAGCAGGGCTAAGGACTGATGGGACAGCAACTAACTCCTTACAAAGAGAACTAGGGGCAGAAGAAGACTAGTTTCTGCCTTGTTTTAAAATCTTGGAGAGGTCTGACAAGTACTGGGCACTTAGTAGATGTGTGCTTTCTCTGATTATCCACATCTTTGCACTTGGGAAGAAAACCCAGGCCATTGACTTCAATGGGAGTTCTGCTGCTGACTTCAAAAAGGATTTCCCCTTTGGTGCAGAACTTCAAGACAAGCAGGAAGGAGAGACTTGTTTTAGAGCTGACCTGGCAAGTGTAAAGCTTCAGTGTTTGAAAAGTCTCAGGCTGTTTATTCTACTTAAGATGATGTTTAACATGTTTATTAGGGAATGGCAACTTTCTAGGTAACTTCAGAAGGAGAAAGCAGGACTCTGAATAGGAACAGACTATCAGCATGTCTTGCTGACTCAGTTTACCTGCAATTTGTATTGATGCTCATCGTAATATCCTGTCTGTTCAGAGATATGGCTCAAAAGTAAATCCAGAGTAGTCAAAAGTTGCTTCGAATTAGATGTAAAGCCAGGGAGAGTGGGCCAGTTCACCTGCAAAAGACAGAGAAAGGAAACCTGTAGACTCGAAGTGACTTGAGCTCTCTAAAGCGAGACAGTTTCTCTGGCATAGAAACAATTCTTTGAACAGCATTGGGTACGATTTCTCTGCAAAACTCACTGATAAATTTCCTATCACAGGGAGCCACCTACCTTGGTTTTCCTTCCAGTAGACTTCACACGAGAGACTTGTTAAACCCTTGGATTTAGTAGGATTACAATGCTAGTTAGAGATTAAAACATTCCCACGCGTGTGAAGATGCAGGAAGCGGGCAACATGCTGATACTCTTTCTTTTTTTTTTTTTTTTTTGTTGTTGTTTTGTTTTAACAGCTATTTGTCGTCAGGGATGTAGCCCCAAGCATGGTTCTTGCACAATTCCAGGAGAGTGCAGGTAAATGCTCCCTCTCCCTCCTGGTTTTCCCCCACCCCACCAAATAATTAAGTGATGCTAAACACAACAGGATTGGGGAGGGAGGGTGGATTTGGAGTCATGTTTTTGACCAGGGCTTATTATTCATGCTGACTTGCCCAGAATAAGGGGGGAGCAGGCTTTTAATGCACTGATAATTTCAAGAAGCTTTTGATTTGTTAAATGGTGGCAGTGGGGGGAGGGGGGTATGGGATAAATCGTGTGAATGCTGCCTAATGAGCACTAACTAATTGTTTCTGCATAAATAGTGCAAATGTTTTGTGGGTTGTTTTTTGTTTTTTTTTAACAGCCTGATTAATAGGCCTTTTCAACTACAAGCTTGAAGTACAGTGTGGCTTTTCTGTCCTCTTCTCCCTTTCACTGTTTCTCCCTTCCTCCCTCCCACCCCCGGTTTCTTCCATCAGTAGGCAAAAGTCAAGCATTCTTTAGAATGGGATTAGTTAAATCTCTCGGTTCCTTTACCGTTGTGAGCAAGACTCCCAAGTGCAGATAGGTTAATAGCTAGGATGAAATCTTGTCAGTAGGCTCTGATGAATGCAGAATTTTGCTCCTGTGCTTTGAAGTCTGTTCTGTCCTGGCAAGGAGACAATGAAAAGCAGAGTTAATCCATAACCCAACAATTAAATGTTTGGAATGCCTCTAAATGTACAGCATATATTTACAGCACAGGGAGGTTTTCTCCCTTTACTAATAGAGTGTTAATGGATATTAAATGTGGGCATTCTTTATCAACAAACTGGTTGTAAGTTGCTTCATGTAACCCTTTATTAAATTTCCTATCACAGGGAGCCACCTACCTTGGTTTTCCTTCCAGTAGACTTCACACGAGAGACTTGTTAAACCCTTGGATTTAGTAGGATTACAATGCTAGTTAGAGATTAAAACATTCCCACGCGTGTGAAGATGCAGGAAGCGGGCAACATGCTGATACTCTTTTTTTTTTTTTTTTTTTTTTGTTGTTGTTTTGTTTTAACAGCTATTTGTCGTCAGGGATGTAGCCCCAAGCATGGTTCTTGCACAATTCCAGGAGAGTGCAGGTAAATGCTCCCTCTCCCTCCTGGTTTTCCCCCACCCCACCAAATAATTAAGTGATGCTAAACACAACAGGATTGGGGAGGGAGGGTGGATTTGGAGTCATGTTTTTGACCAGGGCTTATTATTCATGCTGACTTGCCCAGAATAAGGGGGGAGCAGGCTTTTAATGCACTGATAATTTCAAGAAGCTTTTGATTTGTTAAATGGTGGCAGTGGGGGGAGGGGGGTATGGGATAAATCGTGTGAATGCTGCCTAATGAGCACTAACTAATTGTTTCTGCATAAATAGTGCAAATGTTTTGTGGGTTGTTTTTTGTTTTTTTTTAACAGCCTGATTAATAGGCCTTTTCAACTACAAGCTTGAAGTACAGTGTGGCTTTTCTGTCCTCTTCTCCCTTTCACTGTTTCTCCCTTCCTCCCTCCCACCCCCGGTTTCTTCCATCAGTAGGCAAAAGTCAAGCATTCTTTAGAATGGGATTAGTTAAATCTCTCGGTTCCTTTACCGTTGTGAGCAAGACTCCCAAGTGCAGATAGGTTAATAGCTAGGATGAAATCTTGTCAGTAGGCTCTGATGAATGCAGAATTTTGCTCCTGTGCTTTGAAGTCTGTTCTGTCCTGGCAAGGAGACAATGAAAAGCAGAGTTAATCCATAACCCAACAATTAAATGTTTGGAATGCCTCTAAATGTACAGCATATATTTACAGCACAGGGAGGTTTTCTCCCTTTACTAATAGAGTGTTAATGGATATTAAATGTGGGCATTCTTTATCAACAAACTGGTTGTAAGTTGCTTCATGTAACCCTTTATCACATCTGTTTATATGCAATAGGGAACTGAGGGCTTCTGAGATTACAAAATGTTGATATTGATCCTGTGTAGGAAGAGTTAAAAGTGAACCCTGGGTATTCACCAATAAAACACAGAAATATGAAGGAACAGAAAGCAATTTTTCTGCCTAACAAACATATTGATGGATTTTCTTTTGCATGAAATGGATTGCTTTTCTTTCTAGATAAGCTGTAGTTCAAACAAGAACGAAATCTGGGGTGACTGACAGACTATATTATAAAAGAGGCCAGCCAAAATAGTCAGTGGTTCATTCTTTCTTTCTGTCCCTGTAATCTATGCTTAAAAAAACCCCCCAGAAAATCATCAAGGAACGTTCTGAAAGTGAGGTAGGAAGTAACTTCCCATCCTCCACAAGAGACGTGGCAAAGTGAAAGTCAAGCCGCAGGATGGACTGTTGTAGGTTGTTCAGCGATTTTAATGTTTAGCAGGACTGATAGAAGCTGGTTAACCCCCAGAACACCAAATCTAAATCTTTTTTTAATTAAAAAAAAAAAAAAGCCTGGCACAGTCAAGGCTACCAGTGATTTGTGCTTTTGTCATCAGAATAAACATGCCTTGTAGGGGTTGCTGTCTCCTAGTCAGAACAACAGGCTTTGTTTCCAGATTTTTTTTCTTTCCTTTCTCTTTCTAAGTCTCTTACCTCCCACTCACTGCCCAGACATGCACTAGTGCTCTTATTTACTCAAGGTGCAACTTTCCCACACTTGATTTGCATAGTCTTGAAACAATGCTGTCCTTCTGGTGCTTTCAGATAACTTCTGCTTGCCAAGTTAGACCAATATCTTTAAAGTGAACACAGAAACAAGATTTTATTTTCTTTTAAGTTTTGATGAGTCATATAGTCTGTATGTTACAAATGTAACAGAGTTCAAAAATAACATGCCAGCAGAAACTGCTCTGGGTTCTGGTACAATAGACAACTTGCAAACATTCTTCAAATATCCTTTTCCCTTTTGGTGCAAGTCACTTTCTTTTTAATGCAGGCCAGCCAGCAAAACCATATTTACTCATGAATCACCATACAAGGAAAGTCAACTTTAAATTTCCCATGAGAAACTGCTGCATACATATTATTAAACAAGAATTATTGCCATGAATCTTGTTCTGGAATTGATATCTGACACTTTTTTTTTTAAATGCCCATAGCCTTTATCCAATTTTGTTTGTTACACTTTGAAGATGATGTTTGAAGAAAGTTGTATCTTTGGCTCTAAAGCTTATGGCTTTTTTTCTGTGCGCGTGTTTTTTTGTTGGTTGTTTTTTTTTATTACTTGTTTCTCTTTACACTTGCTTTAAAGAAAACAAAAAAACCCCACCCCTTTGATTTGGTAGAAGGGAGTAAAATTATCAATTTGGATACCTGGTTTTGCAAGTGAGGTCCCTTAGCTTTGCTTGTGTGCAAGCTCACAGGCAGGTTGCTTTGAATGCAAAACAAATTTAAAAAGTATGTTCCTAAATTTTGATCTTTGTGCATTCTTTTTATATACCCTGTGCAGAAGGATTTTCCATGAGCTACTTGAGAGGGGTTGTTTTGCCTGATCTGGTTTTCTTTCATGTTCTTTGCAGGCAAAGACACATAAGTTGAACTAGTTTGGGTTTGGTTTTTTTAACACACAAACTAGTAAGAATTTCCCATTGACTTTGAATAGGCTGCTATTGAAATAGCTATTTGAAAAAAATTAATTAGGATGCAGTTTGTCACCTGAGATTTTTAGAAGGGAAGTCGGACTTACCACTGGCTGTATGTGATTACCCATTGGATAGATCCTTGTAGTTTTTTCCCGTGAGGAGAAATTGCCAGCTGAAGAGTGGTGGTGGGGTTTATAAATAGAAAGCTTAGCTGACTTCTGTACAGATGAGGTTTGTTTTCATAATTTAGTGACAGCTTAGTGCATTATTGCTGCTGATTAATTACTTTCAGGACCTGTTAATGAAATACAGTACCTCAACAAACCCTTGCTTTCATTTTCAACTTGTTTTCCTTGTTTCTATCTATAGATCCGCTTTAATTTGAAGAATACTTGGTCTGCCTTGGTAGCAAGAACTAATTGAAAGCCAAAATGAGCTTTCCTTTAAGGGGGTTTTACTTTAAAAGAACATCTTCCTTTTAAGTATAGTATTCAGGTAGCTCATTGGCAGTGGCAATAAATAATTGCAATAATAATAAATTCTTCTCCAGACATGAAAGTAAAGTTTCTCAGAATTGGGTATGTTTTATTTATTCCCTGAAAAGAGGTTAGCATAAATCAAACTCTGAAATATGCTGACAACTGATCATCTTTGAACACATGTAAAATCCTGATGTGTGCTGTTTTCTTTAATCTCTTACTGTGGCCCAGTCCATACTTGCTGTGTGTCTTCTAGTTCAGAATAAGGTTAACTTCCAATAGAGCAGAGAACTCCTAACGCTTTGCTGCTGCCTTGCCGAGGGCTCAGAGTTGGTGTTTATGGTTTTGTTTGTCTTCCTGCAAACCCAGCATGGCTGAAATGCCTGGAAACTTGTATTCATGAGGATCTCTGGATAACTATTGTTTCCACTGACTTTTTCTCCCCCCTCTCAATTTATAAAGCACCCTGTCAAAGTCTAGAGATTGATTTGTAGTGCACACCCACCCTCTCTGCCACATTTGTACGAGGCTCCAAAAGAGTATTTTTGTGCTGAATGGTCTCATGCTGGTTCTCTCAGAACAGTTACTCTTTTGTCAGGAGGCCAGCTACAGAGACCTTGGCAAAACTACTAAAATGTTTGTTTACAAGAAACCAGCAAACAAATCTTGACTAGCTTCTCCCCTCCCCTCGTCCTGCCCTTCTCCCCCACCTCTCCAGTCTTTCTTCAAGCTTTGGAGTTCCGCACTTGCATCTACAGAGAGCAATTCTAGTGGGTTTTTGGGTTGTTTTCCTGTTCTGATGTGATTTTTTTTTTTTTTTTTTTTTTATTTTTTTTTTTTTTTTTTTTTTTTTTTTCCTTTAAACGAAGGTGTCAGTATGGATGGCAAGGCCAGTACTGTGATAAGTGCATTCCACACCCAGGATGTGTCCATGGCACTTGCATTGAACCATGGCAATGCCTCTGTGAAACCAACTGGGGTGGTCAGCTCTGTGACAAAGGTATGCTAATCTTATGGACAGCCAAGTGTAACACTTGAATTTTAACACTGGCAGACTTAGCATGGAGAGAGTGCACATGAGACTGAGCCTCCTGAAACATGGTGGGAGTTTTTTGTCCTTCAGCTACTTAGCGGTGTCTCCTCTGCTGTTCTGGCATTGTTAGCATGTGTCCTTAACTTCTCCCTGTCCTGTCCTACCCTTGTGTGCAGAGGTACTCTGTAAAGGCTCTAGAATAGTGGAACAAAGCATGCACGTGCTGCTGTTACTGTTGCTTTTCAACCATGGCTTTAATGCTTCCCACCTCTTGCAGATCTGAACTACTGTGGAACCCACCCACCCTGTTTGAACGGCGGTACCTGCAGCAACACTGGCCCTGACAAATACCAGTGTTCCTGCCCTGAGGGCTACTCCGGACAGAACTGTGAAATTGGTATGTGTTTGATGCAGCTGCTGAGCTGCCACTTGGCACTTAATTCTTGCCAGCAATTTTAGTGGCTGGTTTTGTATGTATCTGAGGAGGTTGGGGAAGAGTCAATTCTTGACATTAATTATGCTGTCAGGGCCAGCTACAAAGATCCAGACTTGCTTGTTCATGCTTCATCATGAACAGCTGGTGTCTCTGAACATCAGCCTGCTGCTCACTGGAGAGATCACTATGAGTTACCTTGTCTGGCTCTGACTCAAACAGGTGCACGTCAGTGTGGTGATGGGTTTAGCAGGGAAGGTGACGTCCTGCTGGCTAGCGGCTTTTTGATTCACAGTTCTCAGAGTGAAATACATCAAGTGTAATGACGGTGTGTCCAGAGTAGAAGCATGTGGAGGGAGCAGGGGGTGGCTTCTGGTGATATTGCTATAGACTCCACTGTGATGTACTTCTGTCCTGGTTTAGCGGAGCATGCCTGCCTCTCTGATCCTTGTCACAACGGAGGAAGCTGCTTAGAGACGTCTACAGGATTTGAATGTGTGTGTGCGCCTGGCTGGGCTGGGCCAACTTGCACTGATAGTAAGTCCTTTCAAAAGTGTATTAAAAATGTGCTAGTTTCCTGGTTTAGATCAGTCTTTCCAATCCTTGATAAACTTGCAGGGCAGCCTACTTCACCTTTCCCAGGTTTAGCATTGGTTCTTAGCAGCCACTTGTACCACGGTGCAGCTCTTCTCCTTCGTACAAACATTTTTGTTAAATGCAAGGGGACAGAATGTCAGATGTTTTCCTGAAAACATCAGAACACTGAACCTTTGTAGCATTCTGGCAAGTTGTTAAAATACTGTTTTGAGAGACTTGCTGGATCAAAATCTGACTTCCAAAGGTGTAAACTTCTTCCCTTATGCTTTGAGCCCCCCTTCCCACTACTATTATTTTTAAAGCAGGCTTTGGCTGAAATCAAAGTAGACCTAGAAATTCCAAGCAGAAGTTCCGTTGTCTTTCTGTTTCTCAGGGCAAATCCTAGTAGCAGCAACCATTTATCAAATTTGTCAGCTACTGACATCGCCTGTTTGTAACAGAGCTAAGCCTCCTCTTATTCCGCATTACAGATATTGATGATTGTTCTCCAAATCCCTGTGGTCACGGAGGAACTTGCCAAGATCTAGTTGATGGATTTAAGTGTATTTGCCCACCTCAGTGGACTGGCAAAACCTGCCAACTAGGTGAGAACTACTTTTCTCTTCATACAATGTTGCTCTGGGAGTGGAGGGGGAAGATAAATGCAAAAGGGATCATAATGCAGCAGGCAAGGGCAGTTGCACCCTTTGTGTTGGGCACATTTATGGTTTCAAAGCCTATGAATGTATTCTGGCACACCGAGAATATTAAGTGTCGGCATTTGCAGGACTGGGGTCTAGGACAGTCTCAAAGCATAGAGTGGCTTCCTTCTGTCGTTTTGCTGATGCATGCTAGCAGTTGAAGGAAATGGTTAACTAAGCCAAAGAGATGTACTTTAAACCGTAAATGAACTGAAGTGGGGAGGGTGCGTGTGTATGCCTTCCAGTCCTGCCCCCGCATGTACTTCTTCCTCTAGCCTGTGAGAAAGTTGCTGTATCTCTTCAGCCATGTCCACTCCTCCAGACCAAGGAGTTCACAGCTGGGTTCCAAAATGTGGATGATCTCATGAAGAATGAGCTGTCTGCATTCTTTACACAACACACTCATCCCAATGACCAGGCTGCAGCACTCCTCCTTCAAAATGCTCAGCTGAGATGGGGGGGAGGGGGAATTGCTCTTAATGAGTGGCTGGGTAATTATCAAATAATTGGTGTAGCCTGTAGGTTCTAATTGCAGAGAAACTGAAAGAGACTTCAGAGACTGATGTATGATTGACTTTTGTTCATTCAAGTCACACTAACCCATGCTGTATATTAAAGTTTCTCTTAGATCTGAATGAAGTGCTGATTATGGCTGTGGAAACCGGGTGTAGGCTCTTTTCCTTCTCCCCCCTGCCCTACAAGCCCTGCATTTGGCCGTTCACATTGCTTTTTCAGATGCCAATGAATGCGAGGGCAAACCCTGTGTCAATGCCAACTCCTGCAGGAACCTGATTGGCAGCTACTATTGTGACTGCGTTACTGGCTGGTCTGGCCACAACTGTGATATAAGTAAGTGTCCATATCCTTGGGTTTATGAAAGGCCAGGTGTGTGTGCGTTTATGTACGTATGCCCACGGAGTTCTAAGCTCAGATTTAAACATCAGGCAGAGTCCCAGCAGCTGATGTTTTTAGAAAGGGAGAAGCTGATGTGGAATGAAAATACACAATTTTATTGAACTCATTAATCCATAACATAGCTGTGTTCTGATAAAGTGACTAAAACAATGATGTGAAGTTTCACTGCCTCTAGTAGAAGAATCATGAAAGGTTCCCACCCATTATAATAACCTTATCTCGAGGAAGGCATGCAGGAAGCTTGACGAAAGGTTTATCCAGCTGCAGTTTTAGAGAGACTTGAACTCTGTATCTAGAGTAAATATATTTTTGCCTTCTAACCACATTAATTTTATTACAGATATTAATGACTGTCGTGGACAATGTCAGAATGGAGGATCCTGTCGGGTGAGCCATTACTGTTTGATTTTGGTTTCCCTGAGACTTGAAACAGTAACTAAACCACCTGAGTCTAAACACAAATAGTGTAGAAGATAGAAATTAGCTGGCATAAATTGTCATTTCTTTGAGTTGGGAGGAGGGCCTATGTCATGCTATAGCGTGTCAGGATATGTCTGTAGAACAGCAAAGGCAAAAAATATAACTGCGAAAAGTGACTAATTTGCAGTGCCAGTGTCACCAGTGAATGGGCTGGTGGTTGTGCAAACTACCTACTGCAAATGTAGGTGCTCCACTTCAAAATGTGGATTAATGTATCCTGCCTGGAAGTTAAGAACATAAGCCAGTACTGGGGGATGTGTGTGGTGGTTTTTTGGGTTGTTTTTTTTGTTTTGTTTTTCCTTTTTTTTTTTTTTTCTCCTGAGGGGTGAACTACAGTCTGAGCTGGGCAATTGGTTGGTGGTGGTGTTTTTTTTTTTTTTTTGGACTGTTGTCGTCTTTTTTCTTTTTTTTTTTTTTTCTTTTTTCTTTAATAAGAATATATCAAGAGGGAGAAAAAAACCTTAACTCTAAACTTTCTTATTCCTTCCTAGGACTTGGTTAATGGTTATCGGTGTATCTGTTCACCTGGCTATGCAGGAGATCACTGTGAGAAAGACATCAATGAATGTGCAAGCAACCCTTGCATGAATGGGGGTCATTGCCAGGATGAAATCAATGGATTCCAATGTCTGTGTCCCGCTGGTTTCTCAGGAAACCTCTGTCAGGTAAGAAGCATGGGTGAAAGGCAGACCCTCAGCCAGTGGCATTTCTACCAGCACTCGGGATCTGTACCCTGAATACCTTGCATCCACTGAACCATAGTATAAAGTTGTACTTGATATCGCTGTCAGTCTGCCAAGAAAGTGCTTGATTAATATATACTGGCGGGGGGGAAGAAACCAACTCAAAACCCTGACTGGCTGCAGAGGAATCTTTTTGTTAAACAGGCTGCAAGTGTTTGCATGTCAGGTTTTGTTGCACACTAACTATTAATTTCAGTGGCTGTCTAGTATCAAGAGTGCTGTCTCCTGAAGTAGTTGCAAGTCTAACTAAACTCTGTGCATTATGAACAATTCATTGAGGCAGCAGATAAAAAGGTCAGATTCCACAGTGTCCGCCTGTCATAGTGAGGGAAAGCGATGATAAAACTTCTGTTTCACTTAGCCTTCCTACCTTCCCCTTTTGAGGTTGGTTTTGGGGGTTTTTTTATCCCTTTTTATTTCCCTTTCCTCTCTCTGCACTACTTACAGCTGGACATAGATTATTGCGAGCCAAATCCTTGCCAGAATGGTGCCCAGTGCTTCAATCTTGCTATGGACTATTTCTGTAACTGCCCTGAAGATTATGAAGGGAAGAACTGCTCCCACCTGAAAGACCACTGCCGCACAACGCCTTGTGAAGGTTTGTGTTACCTTGCAGGTGAATGGCAATGACTGGCAATAGTTTCTGCCGCAAGCCATAATGCAGCTCCAGTAGTGTAGTGAGTCAAGCAGTCTTTGTATAAAGAGGCTGAATTTTGCCCTGTGCCTTATGCTCCTCTTTGTGTGAGGAGGACTATTTCTAAATATCGGCTATTTGAAAGATGGTGTTATGTCAGTGTGGATAGAAAACACAACAGCCTGCTTTGCTGAATTTATTCCACAGGCCACGGACGTGGTCCAGCAATCTTCTGATAAGATGCTGTGATTATTGTATGCACAAACACTTGGTATAGTCCTTCTGTTTCAAATCAGCAAGCATATTTGGCACTGTTAGGTTTATGGTTGGACTCTGGGATCTTAAAGGTGTTGTTCCAACCTAAGTGATTCTATATTATGTACGTCTCTTACACGTGCATCACTGGAAATTAAAATGTTGCTCTTAGCTAAAGAAATCAGATAGAATGGGCAATCCTCACGCAGATCTCTGCTTTTTCTACAGTAATTGACAGCTGTACCGTGGCAGTAGCTTCCAACAGCACACCGGAAGGGGTTCGTTATATTTCTTCAAATGTCTGTGGTCCTCATGGAAAATGCAAGAGCCAAGCAGGTGGAAAATTCACCTGTGAATGCAACAAAGGATTCACTGGCACCTACTGTCACGAGAGTAAGAGTTAAAAAGAGAATATGTTTTACTGTCCCCTATTCTTCTTGGGAAACGATTCTATCCTTTCCTCCCAGATTGCTTTAAGGTTTCTTTCCTGTAACACAGTTAACCTTGGAACTGCTTTAAGTTTTCATATCGCGCTTGGGCGAGGCAGATTGGAATTTGCTAGGCCTTGGGGAAAGTTCACAGCAATGAACCTTCTAGCCTTGAATTGTATGTTTTTAAAAGCCTTATGTACACAAGGTCTGAGGTAGTTAATAGTGGGGTTTAACGTGGATCTTAAGGACTCCTTATTTTATGTTTTGTTTTTAATAATAATTGTTGAGTGACAGGCTCATCACTTTGTGCACTGTTTTTCAGCTATTTCTCATCTTGCTTAAAACCCTTCCTCTCAAAAGGGTCTTAGAAATGGAAGTAGCATGAAATAGTCTGCAATAAGATGATGCCTTCTAGTAGCTGTACTTATAGGGTTTTTTTTTTTCCTTTTTTCCCCCGCTCCCCTCTCCTCCAAACTGTTGCAGATATTAATGACTGCGAGAGCAACCCCTGTAAAAATGGTGGTACTTGTATCGATGGCATTAACTCCTACAAATGTATTTGCAGTGATGGATGGGAAGGAACATACTGTGAAACAAGTAAGTTAACCATTCTCCAGCATGCAGAAAGATCTCTTGGAGAAAAATCAAAAAATCAGGAGGGAATGGCTGGTACTTTCTTGAAGATGATAGTGACGAATGACAATTCAACATGAACTCTGCTTCAAAGGCCGTGGAGGACAAGGTGTCCTCTTCTACTGAGTCCTGGGCTTTTGAATTAGAACTAAACCAAGTTACGAAGCTGGACTGACAGTAGAACCTGGGTCTCCTACTGCTCAATTTTCCGCTCTACCCTTCAGATAGCTTTCTGTAAGAAACCCTTAGCACTAGTATGCGCCATTGTAGGCATGGCATATCTGCATATCACACTTGCATTTTGTCAGTCTCAGGAACAGGAGTGAGCACTCAACTCCTACCCTCTGACTGATAGGACAGTTTATGCAATAGGTCTTTTCACTTCTTGTTTCAGTAAACAAGATGACAAACAAAATGAAAACAAACTGGAGGAATGTGGTGGAATACTCTTCATCTCTGTGACAGCACTTAAACACTTAAGACAGTATTTTAAAGCTTTAATCCATGGTTGAAACACAGGCCAAAATTAGGGATGGGACATGCACCTTTCAAACATTAAGTGGTTGTCAATCCTGTAAACATTGCTTAGCTTGTTTTCTCTCCTTAACATATCTAGACATTAATGACTGCAGTAAAAACCCTTGCCACAATGGAGGAACTTGCCGAGACTTGGTCAACGACTTCTTCTGTGAATGTAAAAATGGGTGGAAAGGAAAAACTTGCCACTCCCGTAAGTTCAGCATTTCCAAAACATAACAGGCGTGCTCTGTTAGGCTGCTTAAACTTGTTGCATTGCATTAAGAAAGCACTGGTATTAAGGATAGTCTGGGTTCTTCACAGGTGACAGCCAGTGCGATGAGGCAACGTGCAACAATGGAGGAACATGTTATGACGAGGGGGACACTTTCAAGTGCATGTGTCCTGCAGGATGGGAAGGAGCCACTTGTAATATAGGTAAATACCCTGCATATAATCACCAGGAAGCAGATGCGGCACTGAATCTGTGACCTCAGTTTTTCCTCTTGGCTCAGTTTTGACAGCTTTCTAACAGCTTAGCGGCAAATCTTGTTTCTGTTACAGCAAGGAACAGCAGCTGCCTGCCAAACCCCTGTCACAACGGTGGTACCTGTGTAGTCAGCGGGGATTCTTTTACTTGTGTCTGCAAGGAAGGCTGGGAAGGACCCACATGTACTCAGAGTAAGTCATCTCTGCTTGAACTTTTCGAGAGTGTTGCATGATGAGAACATTAGCTCATCCTGTCACCCTTGGAGTCAAGATTGAAACCAGAAGGGAAAGCTTGTTTGATGTAGGCTTTAGCATCACCTGAATCTTTGTTTTTAAAGACTTTATGTGATAGAGCCTTGACCTGGGCATGAGAAAGTTGCAAAAGAGCTAAGTGGAGACAGATGTTGTCTTGTTTTCTCCCGCGTTCTTTTTCTACGAGCAGCTCTGTCTGCTTCCATGGATTGTTTTTTTCCCCCCGTTAGACTCTTTACAACGATCTCTTCCTGTGTACATGTGTTCCACAATGTAGTTAACAAATTTTGTGGTAGAAGCCTGGAATCAATTTAGTAGAGAATTTTCAGCATATTTTTGTTAAAGTTGAGCTCAGTGTAACTTGGGCATTAGGGGATGTTTGATCGTTCTTTACTGACAGTAGAGTTGTAGTAGCCAAAGTCTGCATGTTTAATGTTGTCTGTCTTCGCTTTGCAGACACAAACGACTGCAGTCCTCATCCTTGGTAAGTATAATATGTTTATCTTTCATCCTTTGCTTTGTTGTTGCTTTAGAATTCTAGATTCTTTTTGTCTGTAGCAGTTTTTTAATATGTATAATGACTTTTCTTCATAGTTATAATAGTGGCACTTGTGTGGATGGAGACAACTGGTACCGCTGTGAATGTGCTCCAGGCTTTGCAGGTCCTGACTGCAGGATCAGTAAGTGTTTCCATGGCACTCTACCTTGATTTTTGTCTCACTCGCATCTTGTTGCGAGACAGTCATCTTAATTAAGTGGTAGATCAGATTAATGACAGATGTCCTGTGTCTTCTGTATCTGTGCCTAGATCTGTAGCAAAGGTGGGGAGGGCAGGAACTGCACTGAAAATGAAAGAAATCTTAAAAGTCCCTTCAGCTGGAGCTGAAACCTCTTGGTTCAGCTGTGCGGCAGAATGCCCTTCAGGATAGTCTTCCAGTTAGAATGCGTTTGTGTGGCACAGGTTTCTGCCTGAGATGAAAGCATGCCAGCCAAAAACCCTGTCAATTAATAATCCAGCTACAAGCCCCGAGGTGATGTATGCACTTCCCTGTAACTTAATAATAATTACAGGTGGGAGGACATAACACTTCTTCTGTAATAACAGCCATGGAAATAGAAGTTTCATGGTAGCAATGCAACTGAAAGGGGTTTAACTTTGTCATCAGTTGAAGAATCTAGCAGGGGGACAAAACTGGAGTGTGTCAAAGGAGAGGAAGTGTGTTTGTGTGAGAAGGAATGCGTCCTTGCCCTTGAAAAGCTTAAGTAGCCATAGGGGTCAGGTTTTGATCTTTCAGTGTCACACAGCAGAAACTTCAAAGAACTTGCTCTGAGATTGTATTGGTGCTACTAATAAGAATCTATCTGCAAGTAGACACTAGAAAATGAACAGTAGGCGAATATCTTGTATGGCTTTTTTCCTGACAAAATAAAAGGATATTATAGAGTAACTTTTGTTCTTTTATTTCCTCCCCTTCCCATCCTAGATATCAACGAATGCCAATCTTCACCCTGTGCCTTTGGAGCCACGTGTGTAGACGAGATTAACGGGTACCGTTGCATTTGCCCACCGGGTCGTAGTGGCCCAGGATGCCAAGAAGGTATTCCAGATGTCATAGCTGGTCACAATACTTGTAGCAAGATCAGTGTAATTGTATGTTAACAGGTTTCGTGGATGTATGGGTTTTTTGGGCGGGTTATTTGGTTTTTTTTCTTTTTTAAAGCAAGTATCTATCTTTATTGAAGAAGCAAACTTATCACCAAGTTTAGATGAGTTGGGAGAGGGGTTTTTTTCACTTCTTTTTCCCATTTTAAGTTTGTAATTCTGTTCAATCTCGCTTCAGTTACGGGAAGGCCTTGCATTACCAGTGTTAGAGTGATGCCAGATGGGGCCAAATGGGATGATGACTGTAATACCTGCCAGTGTTTGAATGGAAAAGTCACCTGTTCTAAGGTACAGCTGCGCTGTGTTTGGGTTCTGTCTTCTGTCCTGTAACCAGTGGTTACTTATTGGTGTTTACCCTCTTCTAGGTCTGGTGTGGTCCTCGACCTTGTGTCATGCATGTCAAAGGTCATAATGAATGCCCAGCTGGACATGCTTGTGTTCCTGTTAAAGACGACCACTGTTTCACTCACCCTTGCGCTGCCATGGGTGAATGCTGGCCCTCCAATCAGCAGCCTGTGAAGACCAAATGCAATTCTGATTCTTACTACCAAGACAACTGTGCCAACATCACCTTTACCTTTAATAAAGAAATGATGGCACCAGTAAGTAGCAGAAGGTAGCTTGCTTCCCAGAGTGTGAAACAACTTTTTTTGACTGGTAAAAGTACAGTAACAACAGACACTCCCTTATTATCCAAGGAAACAGAAGGTATAGAAGGATTAATACAGACTTCTACCCTAAATGCTTTTATGTCCAGAGAAGAACAAAAGTTGATGTGGAGGGAATTTCACCTCCTCTTCCCTTGAGAACTCTTATTTTGGGCCATAAAAATAATTTCTTCTATCTGTGTGTTCATGTGCGTAGACATCTAAGAAAACACCTTTTTGTATCCTCCAGGGACTTACCACAGAGCATATCTGCAGTGAATTGAGGAATCTCAATATTCTGAAGAATGTTTCTGTTGAATATTCCATCTATATTACCTGTGAGCCTTCACACTTGGCAAATAATGAAATACATGTTGCTATTGTAAGTATTCCTGGAATATTTTTGAATGTCTTAGTAGTTAATTGCTTGGATAAGTGTGCAACATGTGGATTTCATAAAAATTGTAATTCCTGGCTTTGTCAGCGCTTCTCGTGGCTTAGTTTCCATCCCAATTCCCTTTAAGAACAGGGAAGAAATTCTGGTTACGTGTACATACCTGAAAGCTAGAATCTGGTAGCAACTGTAATATGGTAGTAAAATGTTTTTCTGTTATACTGTCTTGAGAACTGTTTTGGGGGGGCGTGGGGAGGGGGGTGTTTGTTTCTGCTCATAGCTGGGCTTTTAGCTTGTTTCTGTTGTGTATGTTAAGTATTTTAAGTACAGAGAGCCTTAACTGATTGTGAAAGTACAGGTAGCAGATTACCCACGCATCTGATCTGGCATTTGGCATTAATTGTATGACTTCTCCTGTAGTCTGCAGAAGGTATAGGGGAAGATGAAAACCCAATCAAAGACATCACAGATAAGATTATTGACCTTGTCAGTAAGCGTGATGGTAACAACACACTAATTGCTGCAGTTGCGGAAGTCAGAGTGCAACGGCGACCAGTTAAAAACAAAACAGGTGAGCTTTTCCTTGTCTCCCAGAGCTCGTATGCTTGCCATGACTAGAATAGCCTTCCACAGCAGGGGAAGCTTTTCTCACTTTTGAGACTTGTAGAAAGTCTGAGAATCTCTGCCTCTTGGCTCTGTTAACTGGGAACTTACTTTGCAGGGTCTCACTACTTTAAAAAAAAAAAGTTACAAAGTTCTGAAAATGCTCTAAAACAGTGGCCTAACTTGTTAAAAGGGCTGCTGCTGTGCAGCCCTCTTCGTGGAGAAGTAAGGAAGAAGAAAGTCAGTGAAGTCATGCTGCCCAGCTCCAAAAGCTCCAGTGTATTTGGCGCTGCCACTGTCGAAGCGCGATGAGTGAAATGTTAAGGTCGGAAGTGTCCATCAGCTGTCCGCAGAGCGCCAGGCATGCACTGGCATCCTAGTGACAGCCACCAGCAGAGAGAAATGTCTGCCGTGGGTACGCAGCCAGCTGCCCTCGGCGCAGGAGGTGTTCTGTCTGAGCTGGGAGCCGCAGCAGGGCGATGTAGCAAAGCCTGCATCACTGTTGCCTGTGATGACTTGGTTCTGTGCATAAGAAGGTGGTATTCAGAGTCCTAAATTCGCTATGAGCACCCTGTATTCTGAAAGATCCACCACGATTATCCTTGTGCTAATGCCTGGACCCCAGTGGAAAAATAAGGCTTAAGAACAGACATTTGCTTTCTTTCTGTAAAGGCTTGACTGGAACACTTGGTTTGCAGCAGGGTTAACTGGTCTCGTATCTCTTCCAGATTTCCTGGTGCCATTACTGAGCTCAGTCCTGACAGTAGCCTGGATCTGTTGCCTGGTAACTGTTTTTTATTGGTGCATTCGAAAGCGCAGAAAGCAGAGCAGCCACACTCACACGGCATCTGATGACAACACTACCAACAATGTAAGGGAGCAGCTGAATCAGATAAAAAACCCCATTGAGAAACACGGAGCAAATACTGTCCCAATTAAAGACTACGAAAACAAAAACTCTAAAATCGCCAAAATAAGGACACACAATTCGGAGGTGGAGGAAGACGACATGGACAAACACCAGCAGAAGGCCCGATTTGCCAAGCAGCCAGCGTACACTTTGGTAGACAGAGATGAAAAGCCCCCCAACAGCACACCTACAAAACACCCAAACTGGACAAACAAACAAGACAACAGAGACTTGGAAAGTGCACAAAGCCTAAATAGAATGGAGTACATTGTATAGCAGACAGCGGGGTGCTGCCATGCAGGGCCTTTACACATCGTTATAAAGGCACTCGAGAGCTTGTAGTTCTTCAACTGTTGTGTAATATTTGAGTCCAAGGCTATTATTTACTTAGAATCCCTGTGTTAATTTAAGTTTTGACAAGCTGGCTTACACTGGCAATGATAGTTGCTGTGGTTGGCTGGAATACCAAGTGCTGCATTTCACATCTATGCAAAACTAGTCGAAAGTGCCCTCGTGTCAACTCAGCTGTAGCTGATACATCACGGAAACGTTTCAGAAGGTGTTACGTAGCCTTACTGCTCTTCCCTAGGGTTAGGGGTGTTTTGTTTTCCTGCCATATGTCCCAATTTATACAGTTTCTTTAGCATAATACATTTTATTTATATTTATTGAATTTGAGGTTTTTGTATATTGGTTTTATGGTGACGTACAACTAGTTCTGTATTTGAAAGTGCCTTTGCAGCTCGGAACCACAGCAACTATCAAAAATAAGTTTATTATTTATTTTTTTATTGTATTTTTGTTGGGGGCGGGTGGGGGGAACTTGTCAGCAGTTGCTGGTAAATGAAGAATTTAAAGAGGAAAATGTGTCAAAAATAGAAGTTTGTATAGATATGTAAATAATTCTTTTTTATTAATCACTGTGTATATTTGATTTATTAACTTAATAATCAAGAGCCTTAAAATATCATTCCTTTTTATTTATATGTATGTGTTTAGAGTTGAAGGTTTTGATAGCATTGTAAGCTCGTGGCTTCTCTATTTTTGAATTTATTTTCTTGTTACATGTTGCCTATATGCCAAAACTAAGGTGTTCTAAAAATAGTTTATTTTTAATAGGATGGGCTTTCATGCCTTGACGCTGGTTTTTGTACAAAAATGTCAAACATTTGAAACACCTTCCACAGTATCACTTTAAGACTATTTGTAATTACTGACTGAGGCAGTTTAGACAATTAGACTAGAATAAATTTTTTTTGCTGCTTTAGACTTGAAAAATGAGTGACAGGCAGATAATCTGCTAAGAAGCAGTTTAAGGGAACAAACGTGAGCTATTACTTTATGTAGATGAAATGTGAGTGGTTGCATGTAATTAAAATATCAAATTAGCGTGTGAAGTTGGAAACACAGCAATCTTATTTTGTAAATTCTGATTATTTTTTTTTCTCACCATGACTATGTAATACTGAACCACTTGTAGATTTGACTTTTTTTGTAATCTACTGCATTTAGGGAGTATTCTAATAAGCTAGTTGTTGAATACTTGAACAGTAGAATGTCCAGTAAGATCACTGTGTAGGTTTGCCATAGATTACACTGCCCGCCTTAACAAGTGAGGATATCAAAGTGCTATTATGACGTTTAAGATCAAAAGGCTTATAAACATAGTAATCTCAGTGGTTAACCATTGAGATCGTGAAGATACCTTGTATTGTAATATTAGTGTTATATGAAAATGCATCTTTGATGTGTTGTTCCTGGCAATAAATCTTGAAAAGTAATATTTATTAAATTTTTTGTATGAAAACATTAAAGAGCGTGGAGATTATTGAGCTGGGAGGCACTCCCGACTTGCAGAGCTGCCTAAAACAGTGGCAGGGGGGGGGTTTCCTTTCCAAGTCCTGCCACTGATTTCAGGGGAGTCAGCTCTTTCTTAGATGATTACACATTCCCCTCTGGCTCTGAATCAAACTGCAGGGATCTGAAGGCAGCGTGGCCCTTGTTCTCGGTGTCTTTCGGCTAATGTACCTCCAAGAGGACGATGAGGCGACTGGAATTGTGCAACGTGTTCACTTTGCATGGGCCAATGAGCTACCCCCAGATAGCAACCAAATCCAGGAGCTAGGCAAGGTACAAACTGCTGACCGGGATGGGAAAGGATCCATAGATTATACCGATTTCTGATGGGCAAAAAGTGCTTTGTAAAGCATAAAATACACTCTTAAAACACTCAACACGACGGCTTTTAATGCTTAACGCAGCCCCTCCCAACTAAGAGGGGGGCTCTGAGTGGAAGTAGGGGTTAGCTGTCTGGCAGTCTTATTTTAGCACTCGTTCCTGATGAAGCTGCAGATTTGTTTTGGTAAGATGCTAGTACAGATCTGAAGGAACAAGTAACAGCATGTAACAATCTCAGTTGAACCATAATATAAAATATGGTCAGGCTGCTGCTTGCGCTTCAGCTTAAACCAACCCACGCCAAGGTCAGGCTTTCTCACCCATGTTCTGTTTGTAGTAAATACAGATACTTTATATAAAGATTGCTGCATTATGAATACCATGAACACTTTAAAAATCTGATAGCAAGACATACTCTGTTCTGTACCTTCTTTACAGCTGTCTAAAAAAACCCCAATAAAATCTCTTTAGTGTTACTTTTTATTTCAAACTTGCTTTAAAAGGAGATTTCCAACTTGTTGCGACACTACGGTGAAAGGGGGACTGCTCTCACTCTTCACAATCCCATGCCACATAACTTTAGGACTGGCAAATCATCAGTTTACTGCCTGCTGAATGATTCTGAGATCCATGATCCTTCATAGGATGCTAATTCCTCATCAAACAAATCCCGTGACTATTTATTTCCCTTTGTTCCTTGACTTCTACAATCTGCAATAACGCAAATACATCGTGTCTAAAAAAAGCCACTTAAAGATAACAGAATCTTCCACCTGCCTCCAAAGCATAACATGAAGCTATTCAGGGACTGCTCTTCTGTGCTTTTAATGTTGAATTAACCAACTTCTTGAACGCTGCTGTTCACTTAGGTCTCAAATTCAATGATGCAGAAACCAACCACCCCTTCTAAATGACTGAAATGTTTATACCTGAATTTGTGGGAATAAATCTGAGTCTGCATTCTAGTAAGCAAAAGAAAAAAAAATAGGGCTTTTTCTAGTCCTGGGAGCATGTATTTGACAAGCTGCTTTGAAACTTATTGAGGCAAATTCTGTAATTACAGACATTAACGCAGCGACAACGCCGTTTAGATCTCTGAAGACTCATTGTAGAGCAAACCCGGGGTTCATCAAGCGTCAAAACTTGTCAAAGCCTTGAGCACAGTATTAATTTCTCTCTTTCCAGGCTTTACTGTGCCACAAAGTACTGTATTGATCCTGCAGGGGTTTTGTTACTGCAGAGCTCCTCCATACACAACCTATTTTTCCCATATAACTTATTTCATTGCTACTTCGTAGTGTTATAAAATTAGAGCCGCACGAGTTGTACAGGGAGAGAGAAGAGAATTCTGTGACATTGTTAAAATGACATTTGTAAGTTATATCCTCATATCTCAGTGGTAGTTTCAAAATTTACACAGGTGAATTTAAAATAAAAACAGTCTTCCAAAGCCCAGAACCACCACCAAGCTAGGGTTGCCACATGGAATGTTTTCCGTTGTCATGAAAATAAACAGAAACATGATAAGGCTTTCCCATTAGAATACCAAGGCACGTTTATTTTTGTGGAAATTATACTTTGCCAGTTCACAGTTTACTATTCTGGGAAGATAGATTCTGTTTAGTCAGAAGTTTCCTGCTGCTGGTGTGTGTTTGTTCTTTGGATCCCTCTTCATCTAGGAACTGAAAAATCTGTGCTCCCTGAGCTGCCACTGAAACATCGGCACTTTAAAAGTAATAAAAATTACTCCCCTTAGCACCCTCAGCTTCGCTCTACCTACAGCTAATTGAACCTGTTGAATCTGGGTTTGGTTCAACTCAAGCTGAATGTAGCCACATCAAAGCCGCTGCACCTCGGCATGGCAAGGGCCCATCTTACGTCGCAGTAACTAGCAAAAAGGTGCTGATCACACACGTTACATCAGCCTTAATGCCAATACATTCGTGTCACTGGGGGAAAGACAGCTTTGGGAACAGCTGTTTCTGCATGGCTAACAGGAGCAAATGACAGCCAGCTAGTGCTTGTACATCTGAAGCCTAGCCAGGGGGTAACATCGACCAGTTTAGGGCCTTAAACATCAGACCAGCATCTTCAAGCAATTTTGGTGATGAAGCTCTTTTCCTTTCCACAGAAACAACACTTGTTCTTACACCAGCAGACACACCTGCACAGCAAGAGTTAATATTAGCAATCAGCTCTCTGCCAATCTAGAAAATGTACAAGGTTACTCCTTGAAGATTAAACGATTCAGCTTCTTATCTGCCAGCCCCCAGTGCGGCTGCTCCAGCCATCCGTGTAGTTCGCCTTCCCTCCTCAGCTACCCAGTGGCCCAGATCACAGCATCCCTCTGGAACAAGTCACAAGGCAGAGGCTTAATGTTTTTATTAGTGTATGCAAAGATGAGAAGTTCTGACAAGGGAAGTACCAAATTCAGCCTTTTCCTCCCCAGAAGATGGAAGTGATTGCATAAGCACCCTCGCCCCTTCTAACCAGAGCAGGAATATTTAAGCATATTTAAGAATTTTTCAACTTCCTCTTTCTCAGCACTGACACCAGTGGCCATCATAATTACTGTTTACCAGTGCACATGGAGTTTCCTTTTAAATGTTAGCTATTGCTCCCAAAAGAGGGAAAAAGCAGCAAGATAGCTTGTGCAAGGCATAATTCCAACTTCTGGGGGTGAGGAGGAGGAAAGCAGCAAAGGTTCTGAATGGTCTGTTGGCCACCGGCCAGAGGGTCAGCAGGGGGCTTACCCCACGCTCGGGCCGAAGTGGGGCGGAGATCTTCCAGCGAGCACCTTCTCTGTGATGTGCAAATTGTTTTAACCAGTTTCTCTACAGGGTGGAGAAATAAATCTCTACTCTTTTCATTCTAGCACTATGAGATCATACTAATATTAAAAAGGGGCATGCCCATCTCTAGAATTATAGCTCAAGACACTTTTCTTTAAAGATCTGATGCATAAATCAAAAAGATAATTATTATGGCAGCCAATAAAGCTGTTACGGAGCTACGTTACCATTTTCTACTACTGAGGTACTATGTCTTGGCTATGCTAAAAGATCAAACTTTGAGAGAATGGGATAAAATCAGTGAAATTCTCATTCAAAAATGATGCATTGTCAGCTCTCACAGGAAGCAATTCCCAGCTCTGGAATAACTGAAATGGATGGTAAAGGAAGCAGGACGGTGGAAGTTAATTCCCTGGACAATTTCCAGGTAACAGCTGAAATGCCCTGTGACACTACAGCATTTTCACAACTCTGTTATGGTTTCTCACAACACCAAACAAACAGTCCCTGTCTAAAAATGTCACCTTATTGCCCCTGTGAAAGGACAAGGTCACGCACTACCAGGTTCCATTTTAATGATCTGGAAAAAAGCGGTGAACAAGATGGGAGAACTGTGTTCAAAAATACTCAAACAAGTTGATGAAAGAATGTACAATACGAGTTCCTTACCTAGCTTGCTTTACTTTGCAGAAATTGCTCACCCTCAGTGCTGCCCCAGCTGTCAAAAGAAGCATATTCATATCCCCCGCAGGTGCCTTTGATGAAAGGCTCGGTGTGCTGCTATTCCCCCATCCCACATCTTCTCCTTCACAGAGGGTTTTGGATGCAGTTAATGCTTATTACAGAAGAAAAAAGCAGAAAGCAAAGAAGTGAGGAGTGCCTTTTCTTAAAGCTAATTTCTGAGGCCAACCCACACTTCCCGCTGCTGGCTAGAAGACTCTTGCTACTATTAACTCTGTTTGCTCAAGCCCGCATTGGAGTGTTTTAATAGAGTATGAAACCTTTTATCAGATACCGATATAGGTAAGGAGATAACTACTTATAACATGCAATCTGGGATAGTCTATTTTACACCTGTCTTACTCCAATTGCAAACAAAAAAATATTTCCTCCACCTTTTTCCTTAAAAAGAATCCATTTTCCAGTCAAAAGCCAATGAGATGATGATATAAAAATGTCAATTAAAACTCAGCCAATGTGACCCACATGCAGAGGGTCGAGAGGAAAGCAAGCTCTCACTGACGAAATAAATGCCTTCAGAAGGGTCCTTAACACCTCACTTGGTCAAAATTTTCTGTAGCAAGGAAAGTTTTGGTTCTTAAAATTTTCCTTTTTTGTTAGAAACAGGTGGTCTTGAAATTATTCAAGCATAACACAGAAATGCGGCTATGCAATTGCAATAACACACTAATACATGCTCCAGACCCTGGTATGCAGAACTACAACCTGACAGATAATATCAGAACTAGCACAAAGCTTACTACTCAAAATAACTCTCGCAATAGCTACAATCTTCCTACCGATCAACACTGGGCAAGGGAGATTTTACATCAGCCTGCTTCCTCTTTATAAATAAATATGTAAAAGGCTGGTCTAGCTTTTGATGTGTGTTTAAACACAAAAGTTCACTAAACAAATATTTTTAACTACTTTGATGTAAAGAATAATGGAAACCGTAGTCTGCACACATTAGAAAGTGTTTGGCTAGGAAAGGACTGTTTCACTATCAGCAAACAGACCAAATCAACCAGATGATTCATTAGAAAAAAAAGGCAAGCTGGCTCGTTCAGAATAGACGGTTATTTGTCTTTAAGACAAACAGGTATTTTTCAGTGTGAGCTCTGTGTGTTGCGGGCTTTAGCCAGTCTCAGATCTACACATATTTCAGAGGAGTTCAAAGAAGCTCTGAAAATGAAAAAAACCCAACATAACAAACAAACACAGAGGAAAAACAAATGCACCAAAGAAATTGTTTCTGTCCTTCAATGGTAGTTTCAGAACAAAACAGTGTCTTAAATATTTATTACTTTCAACAGAAAGGTATGCTAATGCTGCTCAGAAGCAAACTGGTAATAGAAAGCCACAGCCAAGACTTGCAAACCGCTTGATTTTACTCTAGCTCAGTTTCCAGCTCCCTCTCCCCCCAAAAAAACCCCTGATTTAGGAAATCAGGTTTGTGGTTCAAGAGCATGTCAGCCCACACCTCCCCCAGGGACTTGGGTGCAGGTGGACTGTAGACAGAGAAAAATGCAAAGACTGAGAAGACAACCTTGGGTTTAACATACAGAGATGACAGAGGCATACGGTAACAAAACAGCCCGGATGTCGCAGTGCCATGTAACACCCGTAAGGTTTGCAAAAGGGAAACTTTTATAACAGTCCTGCTGCACAGACAAAAGAAAGAACAGTTTTGAGCAGCAACACCACAAATGACCACGAATTCAAAACTTTTCCCTGAATAACCACATTGCTGAGAGGATCCAAGAGACAGCTTTTAAAAGTAATTAAGCTCTAGATATGCAGCTAGAAAGTAGAGGGTCTTTCAAAAGAGCCTAGCAACCTAACAAGTCAGTAACTACAGTAAAAATGATGCAGCTATGCACTTTTGAGAAAGTCCACTTGTATTTGTCCTGAATCTCTAGGCTCTAACACCTTTAATCAATCAAGCCCTACACTTCTTACTGCTACAGGATCACTGTTTTAAAAGGAGGATGTTCCCATGCTATCAGTGAGGTGATGGAAAACAGCACTGTAAGTAACATAACAAAATATCCTAAAGGAAAAATTTAGTGCTCTTAGCTACACAGACGATGATTTAATCTACCCAAGTCCCTATAAATGGATGACATAATTGATTTGTAAGGTTGCATGCAGGGATGTCATTCAGATTAAAAGTTGCAATTATAAGGTTGTACTACATACAACAACCACATGTGATGATACACACTATATGTGGTTGCCCCCTGGTTTCTAATGCTTGAGTTAAGTGGATGTGGAGAGGAGAAAGACAAGAAGCGGGAAGCTTCAGAATCCAAAACTGGTAGCAGTAACTTTGGGGCATCCTTGCTCAAGATGCTCCAGAATTTTCATAGATACAATCAGAGTGTTTGCCAGTTTGCAAAAGCAAGCATAGGCCTTTTTGCTAACCAGAATGAAATGAAGAGCAGTAACTGAAGTGATTTTCTAAAATGTTGTTCTAAAAATTGTAAACTCAACACATGTCTGTTACTGCACAATCACCTGAGGGTCTCCTGTAGGCATCTGTTACAACCAAGAACAATCATGGGAAATTCACAAAGATCCCAGCAAAAGCAAAGTAGAAAAAACCGAAAGTTAAAACTGCAGACTAGAATATGTGCTTGTACCACTTTCTATCAGTTTATTTGCTGTAAGCACTTAAAGAACCCATCCAGAAAATATATGCTAAAACATTAATATAAACTATTAAATGATTCTATTTTACTTACTCTCGTTTTTCTGATAAATACTTCACTAAATATCCTTACACCTCCTTTAAGTCCATCAAAAAGGTGCTTCTTACTCCTTTCCTGGCCTGGTATCTCAAGCCTATACAAAAGACAACAGTAAACATACCTCAGGCTATTCTTCTTCCAAACCCAGGTTCATTTGCAGCCTTGGTGTTGCTTGTTACTAGGAAAGACCTTTTTTCAGAGCCTGAAGATGGGTAGGCGTTAGCAACCTGACTGCAAAGCACTGTCAGAAACATCATGCAAACAGGCTGAAAGAAAAAAAAAGAAAATGTCCTCTAGCAGGCATGAAGAATCTTTTATCGCAAAAGCAGAACTTGTTTATAGCTGAAAAATACTGCCTAATTGTCAGCCTCTTGCTGTCAACTGCTGAGCTGCTAACTCTCATAAGGATTTGCATTACACTAACAACTCTAATGCTTACGGATGTGAATCTTCTTATTAACCTAAATGAGGATATCCACAGTCGTAGGTATATGTCGGCAAGATTTTTCAAAATTGCTTCACGTAAAATGTCTGCGGTCACTGATTTTGAGAGAATGATGAAAGAAAATTGCTTATAATTTTATTTTAAACATTTTAACAAGATAAGCATGAAATAAAAAGTTACATTGCCTTAGCGATTAGCATACAAGTCACAAAAGCAGTATTAAAAAGAACTGTACAATTAAAAATTACCTCTATCTTAAAATAAGAAATAACTTGGGTTTCGCTAACACATGAAAAACAGTCCTTGCACAGACAAACAAGGCCTGATTTTGAAACACAAATGCATGAAGATGTGTATGCACGTTTATGTATGAACTTTTCCCAATAGCAATGTTTGCACATCCAGGTGACTGCACGTGTAAAACCAGTCTTCATTTTTCCAAAGACCGAATGCACTTGTATGCTAATTTAGGTTAGAAATACGTGTTCCTGTCAAAACTGCACATGCACGAACTATAGTTATTCTTTTGAAACCCCAATGAAAAGGTCATGAAATTAAGTTATCAGCAACATTAGATCCTGGTTAAAGATTTATTTGAAATAACCTCAGTTTGCCTTACTGTTGCAAAGACAATATGAATAAAACATGAACTTCCTAACACGGAGAGAGAAAGGACTAATTTTTACTAAAATAAACTGTGTTCAGAAACAAGCAAAACACTGAATAACTGCAGCTGCTAACAGATCACAAAAGGGGTTTTAACTTTTGCTGTCATCAGCTGGTACAACTTTATAATAGTACTAAAACATACACAGATCTAAAATTTCGCTTCGTAAATATTATTTTAGAAGAGATTTTTCTTTCTATAAATACTACACCAGTTCATACAATATCAATGTCTAATTCCTAAAGACTTAAAAGAGTTATCTTCATTACAGTTCCAAACCACTAAGATACTTAGTTAACTAAATTTTCTTTAAAAGATTTAAGTAATTTTGACTTCGTATTTTTATTATTCTTCATTGTTTTGAACTGCTTCCTACTTTGTGCATATGCTTCCCAAACACAAATGTGGCTGTCCACCCATGCCATCAAGGCAGTATTTCACACTTTACGACTTCTTAAGCCTTCGCAGCTTTAACTTCCTGAAACCATTTTCAACCTCTTTTTTTCTTTTTTGGATAGGCTTCTCTGAGGACACAGGCTGCAGTTCTAAACAATATGATGGCATCACAGGCAATTCTTCAGCAGCTGTGCTTGGCTCCTTTGTGTTTGTCTGCACTATATTGTTCCTCACAGAAAGAGGCCGGGAGAGGTTTCTTCCCAAAGTTAGTGACTCCTCATCAGATGCAGTCTTTGTCAAGTCTTGCTTAGAAAACAACCTGGAATTAAGTGGGGTCTTCTCCTCCAGGAATGGACCTAAACAATCATGATCGTACTTACTCACTTCTGTATTGCTAGGTATGAAAGGAGCCCCTTCAGAGGACACTTTTTTTAAATGCTCTAACTTTTCTTCTGAACCACAGCCCTTCCGTTGAGCCTGTGTTTTGGTCACTTTTTTATTCTGTTTTGGTCCTAGCGGTGCCAACTCAGAGCTACAAGGAGGGTTCTCACTTAGAAGACTTGACTTCAACCACTCCACGGAGTAAGGTTTTTGCTGTCTGCTAGCATTATCTGGCTGTCTCTGATCAACATAATTTTCCAGTTCCAAAACAGGAAGCTCCAAGTTGTTCTCAGCTGTATTTATGCAGTCCTTCAGCTGTCCTGCACTCCTACATTTCACTTCAGATTGAGGACTGAGGGAAGTCTGACAGTTGTTCTTTCTGTTCCCTATCTGTGAATCCACTGAGCCAAGATACACTTTCTTGGAGTCCTTGCTGATCTGAGAATTCCTTGTGCTACTTTGCCTTGGTTTTGTCCTTTTCACACTGCAATAAAAAGGAATTTTGTTTTTAAATTAGAAAAGAAACTTTACTGTCTCAATCTGCCCTTGTTATAAACTCTGAAACACCACTAGGGCAACCCTCATTCTGAATGTGGAAAAAAACCCTGTATATCATCTTGACAAGCGGTAATGTTTGTCTAGCATGGATAATATCAAGTGTTATCCATCTGATTTTCCACTGCACTAGGGGAACTCTATTTATTAATGACTAAGCCATGAAGGAGTTCGCATTCTATTCCAAGAGGCAGAACTGGATTCATTACAGATGTTAAAGGTCAAGTATATAAGTATATTGAATTCCTTCCCAAACTCGCTAGATAAAATAGTATTTCGTAAGTGCCTAAATGACTTCAAACCATTCCCATATATTCACATGCATAATGTATATCTAAAGAATAGAGGGGGGCAGGCGGGGAGAGGCAGCATGTGCATCTCTGTGTGAGAGTTTCTAATCTCTATTTTAGAATGTTCCTCTGGAATTTTTCTCAGGGCATTTCAAAGCATTACTTTAAAGTTTACCACTACTCATCTAGTATCAAGCTTGTTCATCTGGGAACGACTTAGGTAATGCAAGTAGATTGTATTCTAAAAGGAATTATACAGCAAAATGGGATCACAAGGGATACGATGGAGTGTCAGTGCATAAACACTCCTCAGAGCGTGTTACCTACATATCTAGATTTCACACAAGCTGTAAGATGAACTTTATCCACGACTACTGAATGTAAGATTTTGAGTCTAAAGATATTAGTATAGATCATCCCATGCTGAGAGCACTTTCTGCTGCTCTGCTGATGCCGAGCAGTTCACAGGTTGGCATAGATATGCCTTGGCATAGATAACGCTTCAGAAAGGGGTCTCTTCCAAAATAGGTAGAGCTGGCATACCTCCAAATCTAATCTCATTTCTAAACACAACACAGATGAGACACCATGAGTAGAAGTTGCCAGGGTTCACAGCAAATCCCCGATTCCACAGTTGATTTGGGGCTACTAGCAGCTTGCACAAGTAAGAATGGTATCCTGGTACAGCAGAGGACCAGTAAAATGTTCAGCTGACCAACAAACCCTCCCCATCCGGTACACCAGGGACACTCTTTAATTGTGACCAAAGATCCAGACTAGTATCGTGGCACATTGCAGACTCTCAAAATGAACAAAAACTGTATTTGCAAAGTGTTTTTCACCAGATCAAGCATCACGTATTTATTTTGGCTCAGAGCTTCATTCAGGGAAAAAAAATGCTGCTTTGATTCTGCCTAGCGCTATGTGAGATATCTATGTGGGTTGTAACAGCTTTTTCATGCCATACAAAGCAACGACAATCATTTTGCATGTTTATCCACACTAAAGTGGATAAGCTACACTACATTAAGTAGTCCCTTAATAATTTAAAATAATCTTTTGTAAAGGAGTTTATGCTACTTGAAATTTTATTACATAGGCTAGATTCTATTTACCCAAATTTCACCAGATTGTAAATTTATCACCTTAAAAAGAATAGTGACATACATTTCTTTCAAGATGTCTTGCTTTATCTGTTCATTCAGACTAATCTTAAGCTTCTTGTTCTCAGCAGATTCAGTAAAATATTCAGACGTCCCACTGGAAAGTTCTTCTTTCTGCTCCAAAATAAAATACAGGTTTAAAACATGACACATCAAGCTATGATTATTCAACACAAAACTCCATTTCTAATACTAAGACTTACAGATGTTCTTTATTATTTTTATTTGAGCAGTCGAAGAGAAACAGAATTATTTTTAATCTTTTAATATTTGGGAGTCTAGTCAGTTTCTCCCCTTTCAGACTCCCCATGAACATATTTCATATGCTAAAATATACCGCAAACAAACAAGACTGCAACGTAAAGGATGTAGCGTTCCAAACCGTCTGAGGAAACTGTTGGCAAATATCTGACATCTTTGTGGCTCAAACTGTGACAAATGCCAGGAATCTCTCTTGCAGACAGGAGCGTGTTTTGTCATTTTTTTTTTTTTTCTGAAGAGACTGACTGGCGCAGTGGTCTATACACTTATTCCCAGAAGAATTCCCATAATTTTCCATACTTACAAAAAATATACAGAGGGTTATTTGCTCATTTAAGAAGGCAAGGGTTAAAACTTTTAATACTAACGTTCAAATGCTCACAGCTTGTAGTGGTTGGCTACTACAGGACAACAGGGGAATTCTTTCTGGTCTCAGCTAACAGCCGCACCATGGTTTTATATAATACGAGACTGGGGTGAGAGGGAGGGAAGGAAAATGCTCTTTTTCTTCAAGCTGTGAGCATTTCCTTTCACAACGAAACCATCTCAATGAGAGAAGGGCCATTTGCTGACTTCACTATTAACTACAACATACTTCAAAAAAGTATTATCTCTGAGGCTATGGAGAGGAGAGAAAAAACCACGGCAAAGTCAAGAAAAGAAGAGGCTTTGTGCACCTCCTTTTCTTTGATAGCATTTTTCTTCGTCAGCCTGTATGACGCAACATCTGATCAGGGCTCACCAAACGTAGGGAGTGTTTATTTATACCGTTTCTTGCTCTGCACTGTGAACCTAGCACACTGGAGCCAGGCAGTACAAAGGGAAAGACTGCGGAGGCGGCAAGGCCAAAGTGTGTACATGACCGCTGCCTGGAACACCCCTCGGGAACCTGTCACTTATAGTGAATAAAGCCCTGCCCATTTTTATTTTTATTTCCTTTTTAAAGGAGAGGGGGTAAACCTCGCTGCTCTTTCCAGAAGAATAAGCCAGTGAAAACAACTTCCTGTTTTGTAAGCAGAAAGAGGGTAGTCAGGCAAAGAAATAAAGCCATTTCGTCAGTTTAAAAAACTGCAGCTGTTCCGAGCCTCCCTTTCAGAGGCAAATTATGCAAACGTATTTGTGTGTATGGATAGAGGCATGAAATTCTGTCCACTAATGCTGCAACACGTGTGTTTACAGCAGGCAGAAAACACACGGGGCATACACGAAATGTGATTTCAACCTAAGAAATCAAGCCTAACTAGTTTAATCTGAGGAATTAATTGCTGCTTCTATTCTTGTTAGAGGCATGGACTCCCCTAATTAGACTAAACACGTTTTCATATTTTGTAAACTATTAAAGAAGGGAATATTATGAAGATACTCAAGAGCTTTTCTAATTTTAAGAGAAGACACAGACTCATAACTATAAAGTCTGTAGTAACTATTCTGATTTCCAGTAACATTCACACAACTCAGACCGAAGGATCTTGCACAATCGTTCTGCATCAAAGCAGCTGGAGAGCACTCTTACTTAGCCATAGAACAGAAGCACAAGCAGAAGCATTTGAACTTTCCTTATTCTGCTTTATGGTAAGTCTAATTCTATTAAATCTTCTTCAGTCCTCAGCTGAGGACATCAACATGGCACACTGGGACAGGATCGCCAGTCTGCTAAGGCAGTTCTTGGAGATGTAGTAAACAATGGGTGGAAAGTAGCACTTTGTACAAAATCCAGAGGAGGACTGGGTACAGTTCTTGTCCACACATACTCACTACTGCAGATAAGCAATAAACCTGAGTTCTAACTTGCATCTGATTACAAACAGTGCATGATCCTTGCCTGGAGTGTACCATCGTGCCAGGGTGTGAAGAGAAGACCCTGGAGAGAGGCAAAGATGACAAAGTCATGTCACTTGTGAGTTGAGTCAGACTGGAGTTAATGATCCAGAGTCTAAGAGCTAACACATTCCCTCACTACCCCATCATCAACCTTTTACTTTGTTTTCAAAGAATTTAGCACATAAAGCAGTGACAGAAAAGGGTTAAGGCATTAAAAAAATAAAAATAAAAATGATTTATGTGTGAAACACTTCTGAACATGCCCTCTAAGTACAGTAGATTTTCCCCTTGGAACCACACCCTGTAAGTGCTGTATTTTGAGAGCTGAACAATTAACATAAGGCATATGAGTCAGTCTTTGAAAGACTCTGTGGGAACCAGGGAGCCTTTTGCTATTAGGAGTGATGTAAACTCCCTAAGGCTGGAATAAGTCCACAATAGAAGGCAGAGAGAGTCATAAATAACAACAATGGGCACTCCATATACCACTAAGACACTCAGCCATTACTGGTGAAACTTCCTTTAGTTTCTTTATTAGACTTAATAATTTTAGTTAATTAAAAAAATAAAAAACACTGTCTGTTTTGGGAATACTGTTTATTTCCTATGGGAACTTCAGGACTTGTTAAAGAAAGAAAAATAGCTAATCTGCTCTCATCCTGTCTAGTAATCCCAAATTCCTTTTAGGCAGTGAAATAATTAAAGAAAAATATTCCAGGCATAAAAAGGAGGACAGCAGAAGCAGACATCATATAAACAATGACACCATGACAGAGAAGAATGTCAAAGCACCGCCAGACTTGTGACTTGACTCTGAAAGAGCTGCAGGGAGTGGGATTGCTGCTAACAAATTAAAACCACATTTCTTGGCAAATTGTTAAAGACAGACATATTTACATTTGTATAGAGACTGGGTGGGCACAAAAGATTAAAATGCTTCTTTAGCCCTTGAACTGCCAAGTTCTATTAGAAATATGTGCTCTTAAAATCCTAGTGTAAGCTCACTCCTTTTTGTTACTAAAAATTAGCAAAGAAGGGCCTGCAGAAATGTAGCTACAAAGTCTTACTACCCTAACTGCTCACCATACTGGCCTCTCAAAACCTGATTTTAAGATCCTTAGTACTTGTCCAAAGATGTCTGGGAAAAAAAACTCTATTAAGACCTACAGAGAAACATGACTGTTATGCACACAATATACTTGCTTTAAGGCTTATCAAATTGAAAATTAATTCTTTTGCTATCTTACTCAACTTACTCTCTCTTCAAAATGAAAAAGAAATCCTCAGAAATGTAAAAGTGGTGACTGCCATCTGCAGCTCTCTCCAAGACAGCTGAATTCAGCAATACAACATTAAATAACTGCAAAAGAACTACTCATGGATGCGCACTTCTGAAGAATTCTTACAACTCACTATCCTGAAGAAGAGTGAAAGGTTTGGCTTCTTCAGCCTGACAATAATACCCATACAAATACTGATTTTTTTTTTTCAGTCTAAGGTTTGGGATGCTGGGCTGAAAGAAAAATTTCCAAAGTGAACAATGCTGCCCTCCTTCCTGCCTCTGATTTGGTTTCATAGTTTCTAGATGTCTCTTACGATGCTCAGGATAAAGTTGCACATGCTTATGTAAAGTAACACTAAGGGATAATTAAATTTCATGCCTGGTTAACAGAAAAAAACCCCAACACAATAAGAAAACCACACATTGTTTCTGAATTGCATTTATCAATATGGCTCAACTTGCTCACCAAAAAATACTTAATAGAAAACATCAATGAGTCCAATAAATCAAATTTAGTATCAGAGTGCCAGGAGGGGACTCTGAATATAATAATGTAGAAGCAGCAATGAAATAAAGTATTATCCCAGGCACAGAAAAGTGAATAAAATTTAAAAAATAAAAATTATTAAAAGGAAGCAGACAGAAACAGTTACTTAGGGGAGCTTTATGTGAGCTTGCAGTTGCATGATTTCTCTTAATGCCGCTGTAAGCAGTATCATGAGCTCAACTATCTAAGATAACCTTTAGGTCTCAGAACTGTTCTGGCAGATGACTGGCAGATCAGAGAGGTCAGACAGGACTCTTTCCAATCTGATAAACAGAAAAGGGCTCCTAAAGCAAGTGAGGAGGCTTGTCAGTGAAGGGTGAATCAGATACTATCCTCTACCTGATAGAAAATAGACAAGAGACAGGACCTTGGGTCCAGTCTTCCACCCTCTCCCATCCCACATGAAGGAAAAGCTTCCCACAATTTCATGATGCAAATTTTTCAATGTTTCCAGTGTAGTGGTGCACCTGTCCTAGCAATTCTACTTACGCAGTTCTAGTACATGATAAAACATTCATAGATGTTTTCCAAGCACAGAAATGGATATTATTCTCAACCTGAAATACAGTTCCTTGACTGGGCTAGTGGAATGTTGCTCTACATTTTAAAATGGACTGTCCTGCTCTATATGCCAGTAAGTTCCAGTAAAAAACATTAAGGATCATTCCATGTTACACAGGGCAGTACTGATTTTTCATTTGAAACAGGTATTTTTAAGGAATGCTGGTAGTTTTAAAAAATACATTCTTCTCCAGATTGAAATGAGAGAAACAACCAGAGAAAACTGCATCCCTCCAGTGAGGACTGTATAACCTCCGCGTGGCCTACCATAGAAAGCAAAATCTAACACCCAGATCAGTACAGTCTTCATTATCTATTACCAAAATTCATTTTGATTTGACACCATGGATCTTAACAATATATTAAGTTTATCCTTGTCAAGAGTCCCTGTGGTCTGCATTATTTACTCCAAGAGTTGGTCCAATCTGTTACAAGCCTCTGTGATACACATACCACTTTCTCAAAATACAAGGTGTGAACCCGTTTTTCTCACATAAGTCCTGGCAATTCCAAAGACTCCAAAGGTCCTCAAAGCATCATCAGATTAGCTTAAAGTATGAGACTTCTATAAGGAAAATGCCTTCTTGCTTTTGAAGTTGTCTGTTTGAATTTTAGTCATATTTTACACATAGCAGGAATCCC